AAATAAATAAATATGTGTGGCCTTATCCTCTGTTTCATATAATATCTTTAATATCTAAATATTCTTTTACTTTTTAAAAAAACTGAGAATATTGTCATATGTACTTATATTTGGCCAATTTTTTTCTCCACCATAGATGTATAAGTGATTTAAATAGCAAATGATACTATAATGAGTTACTAAGAAGAAGAAATTGGGAAAACAAGAGGTATCTTTGCCTAATCTTCACTTGGGAGTGGAGAATACAAAGTCCAGTTTGAGGATAATGCACTTCTGTAACTCTTATGATTTTACATTTGTATATATTTCAAGAAATCCTGGTTTAAAGACACTGGTATTAAACTAATGTGTTTATACAAAGCAGTGAAAGATTGTTGAATAGCTACAAATAGAGTTCCATATATAACAAGTGATTTGTATTCTGTGTTGCTGCTAGAATCACCCATCCACACAGACTAGGCCTTTTCACTACACCAGTTCCAAAGAGTAGTAACCAGATGGAATCCTGGTAGTTATGGGCAATCTGTACTAGACTACACTTTTGTTGTTGTTGTTTGTTTGCCCTTTAATTCATGTTTTCAGTATACAATTGTTTATTTTAAAATTTCACAGTTTAAACTTCCCTCTTAGGACTTCTTTCTTTGTGCCTGTAAGTTCTGTTTTGTTTGTTAATTTTTTTATTTTATTAGTACATATCTACAGTTTATGAGGCTTATTATCATCTTGGGAAGTGATTACATGTACATGCTACAGCTTGGTTATTTTTTAAATCCTTTTTCCTTTCCTTGTCCCTCTCTCCCTCCTCTTCTGATTCCCCTATCTCATTCATTCTTGAGGATATTATTAATCATAACTCACATTGTAGCATATAATCTTTAAAATAATAGACCTTCTGGATGTGCCTTTCTGTACATGGCATATCTTTGTTCAACTTACTTCCCCGTCCCCTCCTCATTGCCCTTGTTCCCTTGGATGTGTCCCACGGGTTTTGGCATGCTGTACTAGCATTATCACTTACTTCTAGAAACTATGTCTTCCTTGATTTCTTCTGTAATCTATTGTTTAACAGTACACTGTTTAGCTTTTGTGCATTTGCATAATTTCTGTAAAAGAAAACAACTTTCAATCCAGACTAATATACCCTGCAAAACTGTCTTTCAAAAGTGATAGATTAGGGCCGGGGAGATGGCTCAGTGGAATAAGTGCTTCCCTGGTAAGCGCAAGGGCCTGAGTTCAAACCCCGGTTCC